TCTTCCATTTCCTTCGCTCCTCCATTTTACTCATCATCTCCTGTGTAACCCATGGTTTTCTTGCTATCTTCTCAACTTTACCAACCAATTCGCTTATAGTATCTAACATGCATTCTTTTATATTGTTCCACTGCACTTCAGCATTTCCGCTTTCACCTTCAATTGCACCGAGTTTCTCTTCTAGGGTCTCCTGCATGCTTTGTCTTTGAGCATATACCTTCTCCAAATCCCATCTAGGTCTGCGCTTTTGAAATCTTATAATTTTCTTCAACCTGGTTCGGAATTTGGCAACCAGTAAGTTGTGGTCAGAGTCAATATCTGCCCCAGGCACCATCTTCACATCCTTCACACTGTTTCTGAATTGATGTTTCACAAGGATGTAGTCCAGCTGATGCCTTCTCCAATCCCCAGGTGCCTTCCATGTGTAAATTCTTCTCTTTGGCTTCCTGAAACAAGTGTTGCTGACAATCAGTCCATTTCATTCACAAAAGTCAATAAGCATTTGACCCCTGTGAGTCCGTCTTCCTAGTCCATGTGATCCAACAATATTCTGATATGGTTCATCTCCAACAATGCTATTCCAGTCTCCCAATATGATGCTGTTTGTGTCACCTCTTCCATCTTCCTGAAGAATTTCTTCAATTGTGTCATACAGTTTTTCTACTTCTTCATCTTCATACTCTGATGTTGGCATGTACACTTGCATAATCAGTATATTGTCATAAAATTTTACTTCAGATAATCTCAAAACCTGTTATTATATTCCATAAAAGGATTAGTTATTTGTCTTAACAACAATCCTATTACAATTGCTGTAGCTTAATAAATAATGTGGCATATAGATCTACTGCTAGGCAACAACCATGAAACCAAAAACGAGACAATGGCCATTGCTATGCAACAGCTTCCTAAATACACAACAGTACTGCAGCTATTGCTAGGCAGTTGCCTGTGCATAACAACGGAAGAACTGGTATAAGTGGTTTTTCCTTTGGATCCCCTCCAAGACTATGTCACTCAACTGAGTTAGTGCAGTGCAGTCTATTGGAGCTAGTGGGATAGAGTGAAGTGAGTTGGTTGCTGAGTGACTTAGTTGAGAGTTTGGCACTTGGAAGCTAGTAAATTCAGCTCAGGAGCTGAAGTGACAGTCAGCAAGGAACTGAAGCCATGAACACGGACGTTGAGGGATCTACGGTGTTGGAAGCCATTACCAGACTACAACTGGTGAAGACACAGCAGACTGAGAAGACTTTGTATATGTTGAAGTGAGCTGAAGATCGAGTGAATTAGTGACAGCAGACTAGTTACTTGTAGTTACTTTTTCAAGTTGGGACTGACAGTTAACCAGCTTGTGAAAGGTGCCTACAAGAAATGAATCAGCCACACACATCCTGTGTGATTGTGAGGCCATAGCTTATTCAGATTTTGTCACTTGAGTCAGTTTTTTATGGAACCATGTGACTTTTATGATGCCCCCATAAGCAGCGTCCTACACTTTATTCTCCAGCTTACATTACTGGTTTAAACTCACTGTTGAATAGACCACAGGCACAGTTGCTGCGTCCTCCAGTGTCCAGTGATCAGGTACATCCCACAGGACCACACTGTCTGCTTGCAGAATAGAGGCTAGGGCTAGATTGGGCACTACTCCCATGACACAATGCCCCCTCTGATCACGCCCAGAGAACTCCATCCCATGAACATTATCCTGCCCCAACAAGAAATAATCAGTGTAAATTTTAACACCATAATGGCCAACCTAATGCTTTAAAATATACAATACACACTGTTCTGTTTTAAAAAATTAAATAATATACACAGGAAAAACTTCAGTTCACATTAAAGGCAAGAGTCATTGTACAGCAGTGCCTCTTGTAAAATACACACTGTAAAAGACCATTATAGCAAATGCAGACTACAACAAAAAATCTGGCATTGTTCGTTCCATATTTATGGGCCTTCGAAATTAAGCTTACAGCTTGGCGTATGGTCTACGGCAAACCGCAGGTAGGACCATTTAAATACCCACATACCGTGTACAGCAAAACACGCTGAAAGGTTAAAGTTACATGTTATATATGCATAAGTTCAGAGATGAAATATTGCAGTGGTGAAGGTCAATATTGACTAACATGTCGTATTTTTGTAACTGATAGTTAAAAGGATAAAATTGGAAGACCCTAACCTGACATAATCACTGCCTGGCTCCCTGCGGATACAGTTGACGAGACCCAAAATGCCACTGTGTGGTTCACCCTGAGTCACAAGGATAATGTGATGTTTGGAGCTGCTACTGATGGCAGTCTGTACTTCAGGCAGCCAGTCATAGTTATGGCCAGTCACATGGATCACAACTGGACTTTCCACCATCACTCCCTGCAACAGGTTCTACTTATGCTTCCTGACAACACACCAGTCAGCACAAACACATCATTTCCAGCTAATAGAGCTCCTTCAGGGCCATCTATCCGTTTACTGGGTTTGTATAATATATACAAGAATTTTATTTTCTAAAAACTAATAAAAAATAAAATATTTCATCCAGAATGTAAAGCTCACTTAAATTAATTCTTAAAACTGACCTTAATTATTGTCAATAATTTTAATATTGTGTGCAACTTAAGGTACCTGTTATGCCACAAATTTTGAGACTAGAAATCAATATCATTGCCTAAACATTACGAGAGCGTTTCACAGTAAGTAGAGCAGTGATGGCCACACATAGGCTGTGGAACACGGTCAACAAACATCGTAGTCAGCGAAGACGCGTAATCGCTCCACTTTGTAAGTGGCGTTTGTAAACAATTGGAGACCACGAAATTACAAAATGCAAAGAGGGAGGCCCGCGATGAGTCGAACGCAGCCAATTAGAATTTCCCGTTCTAGAAATTTAGGACAAAGGGAGGAATAACTTCCCTCTTTGTAGTTGCAATGTTAGCAAGTTGATAGTATAAATTACAGAATCAATGAGACCAGAAAAAATAACCTAAAAAACGTAATATCCAACCATTAGCCAGAGGCTCTGTTCTACATGGGTACCACAAGATGGTGGAGGGCGACACTTATCTGCGTCTCTATTGCAAGTAAGTCTGTTTGCTCATATTAGCCATGTTACTTAAAATTCAGTGTTGTTGTTGTGAACTTGAAGTACAGTCTCCAGTGTGCCCTACGAGCACCAGGGTAGAATAGGGTACAAATTGTGTAGCGAGTGACAGGCAATGGAGGGAAGCAACAGTCTCACGGCATCACTCCCGAGAGGGAAATTAGAAAGGGAGTAACGAAACGGTGTTATGTAAACTGGTCAAAGTCGGTCCCCTTTTTATTGTAAATAACAGTGTAAATAAATCACTGTACTTAGGGTAGGATGTACACAGGGAGTTTTGATTCACCCCACCACCGACCCATCCACGACCGACCCAGAGCGATCCTGGCCCAAGCAAAGTCAGAACTGACCCAGGCAGTCAACGGCAGCCAGATGCAGCGAACATCCTATCTAAAGTGGTGGCGACAGAGTAATTTAGAGATTTATTAACATCACCCTCCTTTAGGCATAACAGTACCTTGCTGTAAGAAATTAAATTTAATGATAATTTTTATGTGACATGGATTACCGAAGTAAAATCCAATAGTGTGCATACACGGTGTGCCCAGGATCCATTAAGATCCATTTTTTTTTTAAATTTTTCCTTGCAATGTCATGTTGGCGAGTTGTGATGTTAAGATGCTTGAAGTTTCAGCTGTGGCTGTCTATAATTTCAAAGCACAAGCATTGCTGCATCATGTATTTTGACCTTGAATGTAACAGTACTGTTCTGACACTGGTTGAAAATTGACGGTTGAACAGAGAGCTAACATCAAATTTTGTTTGAAGTTAGGCAAAACAGCTGGAGAAGCGAACGAAATGATGAAAAGTGTGTACGGTAGTGACTGTTAGTCGCTCAAACATTCTTTGATAGTATGCTGTATTTCGTGATGGCAGGGAGGACATTGAAGATGCTCCATGTGTATCAAAGCAGAGAACAAGTCGCACTGAAGAAAATGTGAAAAAAGTGACCAAAATCCTTGCATCAGACAGATGTGTTTCTGCAAGAATCATTGAGGAGCTTTTGGGAATACCAAAAATTAGTGTGCATCAAATTTTGACTGAAGACTTAGGCAAATGGAAGGTCTGTGCGCGGTTTGTACCACACGCACTGTCAGGCGGTGAAAAACATGCTAGAGTGGAACACTGCAAAGACATGTTACGGTCGGCCCAAAGTGATACAAAATTTACAAAACCCATTGTTGCTGGTGACGAGACATGGTGTTTTCAATATGAGCCTCTCACAAAGCGGCAGAGTGCAGCGTGGTTGAGCCCAAAGAAGCCGAAACCAAAGGAAGTGTGCATGCAAAAGAGTCGAGTAAAGACACTGTGCTAACCATTTTCTTCAGTTCCAAAGGAATCATTCACAACATATTTCTGCCAGAAGATCAAACAGTGAATTCTGATTATTATCTCAGAGTCCTCAATTATCTGTGGGCACGAATTCTTTGAATTCGACCTAAATATTGAAAGCAAGGTTCCTGGTTGCTCTTCCACGACAATGCCCCACCCCACAAATCGGAGATCGTGCACAATTTTTTAACCAGAAAAGGGATCAAAGTCCGTGATCATCCCCTGTATTTGCCAGATTTGGCTCCAGCAGATTTCTGGTTGTTCCTAAAAGTTAAGTTGGCAATGAAAGGAGACCGTCACGACACCATCCAGGATGTCCAAAGGGAATGTACTGCAGTTTTAAATGAAATTCCACAAAAGGAGTACAGTGACTGTTTTTGAAAACTTTTCAATCAATTCCAGCTAGGTATTGATTCAGGAGGAGACTATTTTGAATAAAAAGAGTGAAATTTTGAAAATAATTAATGTCTTGTATTTTTAATGAACACAGTCCTAACAGAACATGGACACACTGTGTATGTTGATTAAGCATGATGAAATGAAGAAAACATGTGAAATGTTGTATCTTGATGGTAAAAACACATACACTGTTTTGATCTGGAAGAAATGTGGTGAGGGTGTGTTCTGCAATCATCATGCTCAGACAAATGGAAGTATCTTATGGATAGGGTAATGAAGTTATGGGTTCCACTCCTTAACCAGAACCCTGAGATGTGCTGTTACCTTCCTGAGCAACAGCAGCTTCTCATCTTTCAGAGTCTTCTCAAAGACAGTTTCGAGTCTGAAGCCATTGCTGACCACATTCTCTGTGTCAACTTTCTCACGAGCCAGGATGCAGCCCCCATCAGCCAGGGCATTCATCGCAGTCTGCAGCAGTCTTGTATGAAGCAGGATGCTCGAAGCGATAACCAGCATGCAGTTCTGCTCATCTTCCAGGCTGAGTTCCTCAACCTTGATCCCTGTCATGTTTATCCCTGACAAGTCACTGGCCTTACCCAGGACTGTTATGTCTCCCTGTAATATTCAGAGCCATAAAACCATGACAAATTTTTGTTATTACTGTAACCCTCTTTGCATTTCTTTGATCTAAGAATTAAATTTGAAAAGGCACAGCTCGCTACATTGCAAAAATACAGGTATAAATTATATAAAGTACTGATCAAATTCTGGGAGAGCCGATCAAAGAACTTGAAATGTCTCTTTTAGTGTAGGTACTTCGTTTCCCTGTCAGTTTCAGTTCCATGAAACTCTCAGTAGAGACAATGAATGATGCTGTGAATACCTGATGACTGTACATGTGACCCTGCATCCCATATTGTTATGCTTGCCTTTAGAAGCGGTCTGTCTGCAAAGATGAGGGTCACAGCAGGTGAAAGAGGTGTGGAGCCTTGGGTGTGCAGCTCCACCACTTTCACTTGGGTGACAGGCTTGTTCTCCACAGTGATGTGCATGCACACCCGCAATGTGGTGTGCAAGTCCAGGTGTGTAGGTTCTACATTTTGTGTAAAGACATATTTCTCCAGCACAGGGTTGCTCTGGGGCTTGCGCCAAGAAATAGCATTTGTTTTCAGTCCTCGAAATTCCACACCTGCTGACTGGATGATATTCAGCTCCTTGTACACATGCACTGGGACCACTGTCACAACAACACACAACATTTAACTCACAAGCACTATTCCATGCAGCCAATAATTTAATCAATGAATGTTCATATTGTTCAGCAGGTTTCAGCCCGTAGGTGACCTTCAGATACATCTACATAAGCATAAAAGATAAATTTACAGCTAGATTATTACTTACATACAATATAAAACTTAGTGACTGACATCTAAGCATAAAGTAGAACTGACAATTAAAATGAAATGGTACAGGATGACAATGATCTGTAAATGTAGAATCATTCACATTCTCTACACATAGATCTTTGTGGTGTCTGTTTAAGCATACACTGGAGCATTGTCCCTCAATGGAGGTCTGTGTACTGTGTGGACTCAACTTCACTCAAACTGTAGCAAAAGAAGGTCAAGATATGTTGTGATCATTATACGTGTATATCACTACCTGTGTCATACGTAGATTGAATGTATCCTGATTTGCAAATGAATTTTGTATCCATGTACACAGCGTTAGGTATCTAATCCCATAATTGTAAACCACAGTTTAATTTAATGTTTTATTTCACTCTCTTTTGAAGTGTGCAGGAGAGTCCCTCAAACTAACTTTGCATAAGTGCTGGCACTACACACCAAAATGCATGCAGCAGTAAAGTGCGAGATGCTTCTAACATCTCACTAAACAGCTATCAAAAGTTAGAAAATGTCATGCAAAGAATGCCGTCTTCTGGGATGTGTGAACTGATATTTTGGAGGAACATCGTTCCACACAAGATCTACACAGTGTCATCCCAGAAGACAGCATTCTTCATAGTCACCACCATGAAACCATCAAATCCTACAATGTCATGTAAACTCAAATGAACCAACTCACCAACTTCACTCTTTTTATTGTTCAGTTCCTGGACTTCAGCAGCATGCTGCTTGGGGTCTATGGTGAGTTTCTGGAGCGAAGTTGGAAGTAAGATATCTCGTGAATCTTTCTCAAAGAGTTTCATTTGCAACATATTGTCAAGGAATGCAACCCAGTTGTCTTTCCAGCTGACTTTACCTGTCTGACCTGCACAGAACATGGGTCCATATCGTGTATACCAGGCAAGCTAAATTCTCACTTCATGCATCACAAGTGAATGCACAAGGATAACAAAATCAGGAGGCAGCCAGACTCCAATCTTGAGGACACATATCTCCCAGAAACCTTTTTTAATTTCAGAATACTAGGTTATCCAGAAGGATGTATTGGTTCTAAAATGTTCACATTTCTTAAAATATGGAAAAAAAAACTTAGGTATCTTATTTAGAAACTCTTAAAATGTAATATCATATCTTAATATCTTAATATGAGTGCAATTTATTAACTATAACAACATCCAAGTTGTACTCTCTTTACAGGGAAATTAATTAGCTTTATCGATTGGGCCCAAATGATTAAGCATTTCACCTCTGGATGGACACACAGTCTAGTCTCCAAAACGTTTTTATTAAAAGAAATACCTTAACGTATAAATAATGTCCAAAAGCTCAATCACTGTATTACATCAGGATATCTTTGAGGCTATGCTATTGATCCAACTCCTCCATTCCACCAATCTGGAAACCTAGTGCTAAGAGCAAGGTCAACTTGTAAGCTGAAATGAGGTGACATGCCATCTTGTTAGAAGATAACAGCAATTGCATTTTCTCTTTCAATGTCGACATAAATGCAGTGGCAAGGCAAGATGTGAGCATTCAACTGAGCACTGCTGCAACTCACTGGTTTCCCCAAACTATCCCAGTTATAACATCTCGGCACAGATCGCACAGAAAACGCTATTCCTCTGTTGCTCATTCCATTGTTGCTTATCAAGAATCTGCTGCCTAGCAACAGACGTTTTGTTTGTTTTGTAGGCATTGTCTAGAAATAAATGTTATTTCAAAGTCATTTTTTAGCAATGGCTGTTTCTCTGGTTCCACAATTCTTGCTTTGAGTAAATATGCCACATTATCTATAGCACAGCATTGTCTTCTTTGTCTGTCTGATTCAGCTTCATTTCATGATCACTCATTCTGTGTATTAAATATGTCACATATGCATTCGTCTACATTTGCTACTTTGCTGAATCTTAGCTACCTTCATTAACCAGCCATTTTGTGACAGCATTATGATTTACAAGAAAAATTCAAAACTTTCATTGTCTATGCAATGCCACCAGCATGCTGTCCAAGCATGTCCACTTACATCTGTTACACTCTTTGTAATGCTGAATATATTGTGACATGTTACCTTATGGATGACGCCCCTCCGTCCCCGCCAGTCGCAACGTGCCGAAGTGAGCCGAGCCCGAGCACGCTGGTCACTATGCAAAGCGAGTAAACACCGGTTGCTAAGCAAAGCGAGTAAACAGCGGTTGCTAAGCAAAGCGGGTAAACAGTGGTTGCTAGAGACGATGGTAATAACAGCGGTACCCATTACATAACAGGCAAACACGGCATCAGACAACAGTGGTGCCTATTACATAACTGTTTTCCCGTTGTCCGGCTGAGGGTTTATAAGGGAACTACACAGCCGCCGAAGACAGTTCTCAAGGCAGCAGCCTACGACTTGAGTTGGAATCCAACCAGCAGTCAGATGGAGTATAGCAGCCGTCGCGGAAAGGAGAACCGGACGTGTGTGATAATCAGTGATAGTTTGTGATAACTGAGAAATAATTGGGAGTGTGTAATACAGTAACACTTATATAGCTCCCGTACTGTGAATACGTGTAGACTACTGAAGATAGAGTGAATTGATTGCGAATAGGGTTATAAAGTGTGAAACCCTGCAGAGTGAAGAGATTATTGCGAATAGGGTTATAAGGTGTGAAGCCCCGCAGAGTGAAGAGATTATTGTGAATAGGGTTATAAAGCGTGAAACCTCGCACCAGTGTTATAATCGATTGTAGTTACGACTTATAGGTTGTTAAATAAACCAATTAACAATCTGAACGGCGTCTTCAGTAACTAAACACGTTACAATATTGTTCTTCTCTTAAACACTTTCTTTCTCGGGCAGACTAGTCATCTCTTAAGCCTCCTGTCTACTTGTCTTATACAGCATAGTGGTGTAGTATAGTTTGTGAATTGGCGAACATTTTCTCTCATTTGCACTTGGTCACCCTCACTATCAACTGAGTATGACACTAACAACAGAATCTGAGATGATGTGGCTCACCATCTATTTGAGTAGGAAGTGAGGAAAGACTGTGCACTTTCTCACACATGTTTACAGTAAGAGCAGAAAATTAATTCATAGAATTACTTTTTCTTTGTAGACATATTTCCTAGTGTGGATTCATCTCACACTTGGGTAACATAATTGCAGCGGTACAGTGGAAAAGTGGCTAATGATATAAATTATTACACTGAAACATGTGGTATACTAGAGAAAATTCTTGTTTTCATTTCAGTCCCTAAAATTTTTAGAAATTCTCATCTCGAGCTCGTGTCAAACTGTAAAAGCCCTTCTCATAAATCCTTAATTCTGCAAAGAAATCTGGAGCAGAAGGCTGATGTGTGTGAAGAAATATTCACAGAGGGGTTAGTCCTTCAGAAGCAGATACTGCCACAAATCTTTTGACTGTGTCATAAAACTCTGTGAATGTTAGTATAAAAACTTATGCTTATGGAGAAATATCACAGTGTCCACCAGAAAACATGTGGAAATGGTGAAACATACAGCAAGACAAAACACATCTGGGAAAAATAGTGAAGGCAAGAATCTTGAGGGAGATCATCAGAAAACTGGTACAGGCACTATGTCAGTACATGTGCCCTTTAAAAGGATATATATATATATACATACACACACACACACACACACACACACACACACATATATATATTTTGCATTTCTAGAGCATAATTTTCAAATTTTCAGAGAACAGATGCATGTATAATTTGTAGATGTATAGTGCACACAAATCCAATATCTGGTAATAATTATCTCACGGATGAAATTTCTGGTTTTGTCAGCTTGGGTACATTTTTGTTCTGCGTTATATATTATTTTCCTGGGGAGTAAAGCGCACAAGGCTGACAACCTTACTGCCATCTTTGAGCCGACCGTCTAGATAATGTGGGACCCTCAACGTCTCATAACCCTATGGGCCTTCACAGCCTGTTATAGGGATAGCTTTACTTTTTTTTTTATTATATATCTACAACATAGGGTCACATTAGGTAGTTAATTTCTGTATGGAACAGAGCCAAAGAAGACAGACTTGAACTATTCATGTAGCACAGCATGTGGGGGTACATACCATGATTGTCTGCACACAAGGCCACAGAAAACTCCATGGTACTCATATCCACAAAGTCAAAAATACTTATAGATGTCTTGTGATGAGAGTTCAAGTAGTTCATAGTTAACAACTGGCTTGGGAGGCTCAAGTGCCACCATTTCATGGGAGATGCTTTTGGGCACCCGCAGCTAACCACTCACAACTGATGCATTACTCTCTGTTACTTCAAACCTCCCACTCGCCTTCTGGATCATAACAGTAAAGCGAAGTTCTCCTGTAAAAGAGCAATTCAATAATAAAATTGCGGGCATTTAAGAGCAGGCTATTCAGATGGATGGTTTCTCACATAGAATGGGAATTTGCTGTTACAAGATGCAGCCCAACTGTGTTAAGGTTGGAGCAGAGCTCTGGACAAATTCCATAGTAAGAAAGCGATTTTATTATAAGATTATAATAACGAGTTTCAATCTTCCACCAGCCAAACAGACAAACAAAACTACACCTTTACATTCTGACAAACAAATGGATATAGAGCCAGAGAGTTAAGTAGGCTACAGCAGAATTATCTGTTGCATATCTCCTCATAAATTTCAGCAATTTTCTTGGTTTATCATTGGCCTTCATACACAGATTTCACTGCCAAACAGGAGGACAGGAAGAGATACATATATTGCTGAAAGGAAGAGAAATATAAGTATCCACCATTCAGATTTGCCATACACACTCACAGTGCAATGAACTATGCTATTACACGAACCTTGCTTGGGTATGCTAGTAGCCCTGTGGAACTGTATATCCTCAAACACAATAGGTACATCAGTATACGTCTGTTCAGTCATCAGCCCGACTGACTTCCACACAAGTTCCTGTAAAGTCAATCAAAATATCACTGTTGACTCTGAATGACAAGAAGCTGGAGAGCACAGGATCAATGTAAAAGAAGCATGAATTGATATATTACCTGTAACTGTTTTGAATGAAATCATATATATTGTGACATGTTGACCCCTACTTCCCCAGCGGCACGTAGCGGTAAGGTAGCGCTCGCGTAATAGGCGAGTCATCACCCCGCCACTCTCCCTGCGGTGACGTCACGAGCGGAGCCATAGTGAGCCGAGCGGAGGCAGAGTTAGCCGAGCTCCCGCAACCTGGTAACTATGCAACGCGAGTCAACAGCGGTGATGTCACCCAGGGATATCACGGTTGCCAGGCAGCAGCCAACAACTCCTGTGACATGTCACGCAACAGGCACCACTGCGGCTATATAAGGGAACTGCACAGCAGCTACGGACGAGTTGTAAAGTAACAGTCGCCGAGGAGAGTTGTAACGTGGCCATCGCCGAAGATAGTTCCAAGCAAGCCTACGAGCGAGTGTGTTATCAACAGTTCTCAAGGCATCTCGCGAGCAGAGTTGTAATCTAGCCAGCAGCGTGTTACGAGTGAAAGTGTGTAATTCAGGGAGACTTGTATAGCTCCCGCGTTATTAATACGTGAAGACTCTTCAAGATAGTGTGAAGAGATTTTGTTGTAGGGTTTGTAAACTGTGGAAGCCCGTAACCTTGTGATAATTAATTGTAGCCGTTACTTGTAGGTTGTTAAATAAACCAATTAACGATCTCTACGGCGTCTTAAGTAACGAAACACGTTACAATATAAAATAGACTGATAAAACAATACAGCTATGTATGTATGTCTGGTCATTTGTTTGGTCTTATATAGGTATATTTCACAGGGTTGTTTGCTTATCTGTCTCCAATGTTTATGACATAATACACCTAGACTGGACAATGCAGCATAACCACTATACTGAGGTAATAAATGCAACAGACAGAATATACATAAATTAACAAAACATGATGCATTAATCTATGGCATAAGGTAGTCTCACAATGTACAGCAAGATACATAACAGCAAATGACCAGGCCACAATGAACAACACTGTACTCAGGTGAGTAAAATACTGAGTGATGTCGACTGACATATACAGTGTGTCCAGGTTCTGTTAGGACTGTGTTTATTAAAAATACAAGATGTGAATTATTTTCAAAATTTCACTCTTCTGAAACAATACATAGCTGGAATCAATTTAAAAGTTTTCAAAAACAGTGACTCTACTCCTTTTGTAGAATTGCATTTTAAACTGTGGTCCATTCCCTTTGGATGTCCTGGATGGTGTCGTGACAGTCTCCTTTCATCGCAAACTTAAATTTTGGGAACAACCAGAAATCTGCTGGAGCCAAATCTGGTGAGTATGGAGGAAGATCAAGGACTGTGATCCCTTTTCTGGCCAAAAAATCACGCACGATCTTTAATTTGTGGGGCGGGGCATTGTCATGGAGGAGTGACCAGGAATCTTGCTCTCAATATTCAGGTCGAGTTCAAAATTCTGGCAGAAATTCGTTGTGAATGACTCCTTTGGAATTGAAGAAAATGGTTAGCACAGTGTCTTTACTTGACTCTTTTGTATGCTAACTTTCTTTGGGCTCAACCACGCTGCACTCTGCCGCTCTGTGAGAGGCTCATATTGAAAACACCATGTCTCGTCATCAGTAACAATGGGTTTTGTAAATTTTGCATCACTTTGGACTGACCGTAACATGTCTTTGCAGTGTTCCACTCTAGCATGTTTTTCACCGCCTAACAGCGCGCGCAGTACAAACCGCGCAAAGACCTTCCATTTGCCAAAATCCTCAGTCAAAATTTGATGACAGTACTTTTTGGCACTCCCAAAAGCTCCTCAATGATTCTTGCAGAAACACATCTGTCTGATGCAAGGATTTCAGTCACGTTTTTTCACATTTTCTTCAGTGTGACTTGTTCTCCGCTTTGATGCACATGGAGCATCTTCAATGTCCTCCGTGCCATCACGAAATACAGCATACCACCAAAAATGTTCATGAGACTCAAACAATCACTACCATACACACTTTTCATCATTTCGTTCGCTTTTGTGGCTGTTTTGCTTAACTTCAAACAAAATTTGATGTTGGCTCTCTGTTCAACTGTCAATTTCCGACGAGCGTCAGAACAGTACTGTTACATTCAAGGTCAAAATACATGATGCAGCAATGCTTGTGCTTTGAAATTACAGACAGCCACAGCTGAAACTTCAAGAATCTTAATGCCACAACTTGCCAACAGATGGCATTGTAGGGCAAAATTTAAAAAAAAGTGAGTCCTAATGGATCCTTGACACACTGTGTATTCTGGAAGTGCCAGGTTCTAATTCCAATTACCATACCAACTATCCTGGGGATTTTTGTGACATTCTTCAGATCCTCCAGGTGAATACTGATACAGAATCTTGAAGAAATGTTATGTTCACAGATATGAATTTCCATAAATGATCAAAGAAATAAGCTTAATTGTTTTTGAAGTGTCACTTGTACTTTATGGTACAACAAAGGAAGAATGTCTGCTTGAGGAAAACTATAATATTCCGAGATGTCTGCAATCCTCTGGGATATGAAAGGAGCAATATCACCCCTTACAAATAGATGATTCAATTACAACTATATTTCTGACAGTCTTTGATGACTAGTGAAACATTTCAGAAAAAATATTATTCACTACATTCATTACTAGATTGAGTTATTTTTTAAATAAAATGTCATGATTAAATATGGAGGGTTCAGGTGTGTGGGTTTCATGAAAGGGCTGAGGAGATAAGGTTGAATGTTATTACAGGTTTCTGACATATTTTTATACTTTGTGGGAAAATGAGGCAAGGACCATTGCTTGGGAAGAACCTTGAACAGGTTGTGACTTCTGGAACCAGCAGGGGAATTTCAGAAAGCAGAATCACTACTTAAAACTTGACAATTCAATTTTAAATAAAACTCTGATGTTCTTTCATGCATAAAGAAATATTTTACAAAATAGCAATCATTATTTTCAACATTTGACTGAGATATTTTTATAAAAATATATTCATGCGATGAAGTACAAGGTGTGTGAAATTTCTGAAAGAGTTTATGAGATAAGCAGAGGCATTCCTGCAGTGCAGTTAGATATTTGTCTCATTTTCATACCTTATGAGACAACAATGGTTGGTTGGAGAAAACCATAAATATTTCAAGACTTTGTAACTCTCAGGCGAAGGTCACAAAGCAAAATCACTCCTGAGAATTCCATGACTCAATTATAAATAAATATTTTAGACACACACAATGAAAAGCAGCTTCATTTTTGTAAAGTAAAAGAAAATTTGGCCACGCCATAGCTCAAGTGGTTAGTCACTGGCTTCCTACCCCGGCAGCCGGGGTTCGATCCTGGGTCTGGTCAAGTGGGATTTGTGATAGACAAAGTGGCGCTGGGGTGGGTTTTCTCCAAGTACTTCGGTTTCCCCTGCCAATCTTCATTCCACCAAATTCTCCATCATCATAATCACCCGGGGCAGGCTACAATAGGCCAATCAGTGGCTGCCATGCTGAGGGGACCCAATTGGACTCCACCCCCGACTAAGAAAATTAAAAAAAAAAAAAAAATTAATTAATTACACGAGATGTAACAGGGCAGCATATTCCCATTAGGGTACGAGTTGAAACAACATTTAGAGGGAAAAAGTATCCTTTTTAGGATGATAAAGTTTCATAAACTCACAAGGTAGCCCATGGCAGGAAACAGATTTCTGCCATCAACAACATGTCCTGATAAGTATTCCGCTGATTCATCCTGCAGGCTGATGGACACAGATCGCTCACCAGATCTTACTTTGGGCTGTAATAAAATTATACCATTACGCACATACATAAAGCATTACATTAACATAATCTGAAGACAGTGGCAAAAGTGAAATTATGGCATGGAACTACACATCTTTGATATGTAACTCAGAGATGTGAGATGAGATTTTAAATTTATATATTTTTATACAACAAATTGGACAGTATGCAACAAGAGATAAAAATTTCATGTACTTCCCTCTAAAGCCATAGTCTGTGACACTGGGTGAGGAGTGACTGTCTGATTTTTGTCAGAGCATCTCTGCTTTATAATATTTAGGCCTCTTAACTATGGGCCATGAAATACTGCCAAACTGTTGCACAGTAATTCAATAAAGCTTAGTACCACTAACATCATCATGGTCACTGTATGAATTCCCAAGGAGGCTGAAATGTTAGCAGCATTTAAATATAAGGTCCTGAAAATTTGTATATGAGAAACTGTAACTACATTAAACGTAATTTTTATATCAAACTTAAATGATGACAGAGCAATATCTGCATTTAAATTACCACCACTGAATGTTTGCATAAGACAGACGATATTGTTATACATCATAATCTTGCATGCCAACAAATAAAAACATGATAATAAGATGCAACTATCAGGTTTGTATCTGAGAACTTATATATAATGGAAAATTATAATACTAGAAGTATGTACAAAGAAGAATTACTATGTTGAGTGAATGCTGTTCTTTAACCCTTTGACTGCAAGCCCTGGCATATAGTTATTTGCTGGGAACAGAAGGCTGCTTGAAATAAATTCAGTTTCAAGAAAGAACCATGAAACTTCCTCAATTACCTCCAAATAAATACAGGTATAACTAGTGCCAAAGCCTATTCTTTCCTCTAGATATCAGTACGTCACATGTGATGCCACATATTGACAGCAATGTTGTACTACATGATTAACAATGAAGAGAACTCTTTGGTTCTGACAGTTTTAATGAAAGTACACTGAGGCATTCTACTCAGTTCAGGTTGTGCAGTGTTAACATCAAGTCACACAACAAAACTTCCTGTGTTCAGCTGTGTGTGGCTATTGCAGAAAACATGTGAATTTACAATCAAAATATGGAGTTACCTCTGTGGTGCAGCGCATGACGTACCAGTCCTCTGAGTGCTCCCAGCGGACCAGTGGTGAAATCATTGGAGTCCCCCTGCTTACAGGATACTGAACTGATGGATACAAGTTTGCCAGCTGTGGCTGCAATCCCAGCCGCACAATCTGCAACAGTTACAATACCACTACTAGTACTGTTGTGTGCAATAAAACAGACTGCAACACTCAGGGTTCATTAACCCTTTCAGTGTCAACACTGGGTGTGGCTGTGCCTAAGCTGTATGTCAGCCATATCAAGCACAAATACATCCATTTTCAGTTTCTTGAAGAAATCTGCCATCACAATAACCCCAAAGTACATCTCTTATGTGGAAATGCTTTGATGGTATATCTGAATTTTGATTGTAAGTTGTTGCTTTGCTTTTAGTGCTGGGGTTTCTGGTATATGTTTTCAGATTATACCCAAGGCATGTCATCAGGCCATTCCAAATACCTATTCCAGTAAATAAAAGATATAAAGAAAAGCTTTTCAATTAGTGCACGAGTAAATTAATTAAGAGTGGAAGATAAAAAATTGTTGATAAAATTCAATATTGTTTAAAACTAGACAAGCTGGATTAAATTTTACTTGCAGGCCTAAATAAGGTGAAATATTGTCAATAAATACTGAACCAACATCCACAGATGAAATTCTGCTACCAGCTGAGAAGACAACTGGACTTTGTATGACTATAATGACTTGATGACTTACTTCATGATCATGATGAATACCAAACAGACAAAGGAATGTTTCTGACAAAATCCTCACAGGAGATGTACCATTTATGTTATGAATATTTTCTGAACAATTCTCAAGTCAATGAACATTAAATACTTAGAGGACACCTTAGGAATATGTCAGGGGACACATAGGATCATTGTCCTAATGATGGGACAATTGTAAGGATTATGGTTGCCACAGGGGACAAAGAGCTTCATGTGGGCTCTGAACCACTGGAAGTGGGTGATGGGTATTCTACACAACCAAGTTTTTATTTTTCAAAGAAATAAAGTTTTCAATACATGTGAACTGAAATGTCTACACCCATATCTGACTAGGAGCCAAATTTAGAGCCATCCGAATAGCAGTGCAGTATTGCACCCCAAGACCACCAGGTCCCCTTAACACTTTGCGGACTGAGCACCCTTTAAAAGGTTTTTCGATTTTAAACATGGCGGACTGTTCGCATGTTAACAGGTTTTTAAAACATGATAAGTTGCAACACGCTATACATCTCTCTGGCTCCACCTAGGTAGCATGTAGCTGCTTGCAGCTGCGTTATAAGGCTCTGCAATGTCTGCTGACTAATCAGTTATTAGACCTCGCTGTAACTCTATGGCCCTGCAAAGGAAAATAAATGCCTTTATTTCTTCAAGCTTTACACAGCAAGCTGTCAGTCAGTAGTTCAATACGGATCAAAGACCAAAGCGGTTGACACCCAAGCAATTTCTTGGAGAACAAGAAATTTCTGACTTCTTCTCTGAAGAGCTATCTGATGTCCCCTGTGAGTCTGCTAGTGATAGCGACTCACAATCTGATAGTGAGTGTGGCAGGGGCGAACAACAAATTGTGACCACAGAGAGTGAAAGTGAAAGTGACCGTAGCTCCGACGAATGTGCGGGTAGCAACATTGCGGGGACAGCCACATGGGGAAAAGCAGACAAGACGCCTGCTTTGGGACAGTTTACTGGAAATCCAGGGGTGAAGCAAATTCCATCGGACCCAACGCGAGTGTCTGAAGTAGCGGAACTGTTTTTTCGAGATAGTTTCTTTGATATGCTATGTCAGGAAACTAACAGATACTATCTCCAACACCGTGAACATTATGACATAAGTTATAAGGCGTTGAAGTGGGTGGATGTCACTTCAGCAGAAATGAGAAAATTTTTTGCAATTATCTAATTGGCCATACAAGGAGGGATAATCTGAAAGAGTATTGGTCAACAGATCCATTTTTAGAAATTCCAATTTTCGGCAAACTAATGAGCCGTAAGAGATTTGAGCAAATTTAGTGGTGTTTGCATTTCAAATTTAAACCCTCATTCAAAATTGAAATACAAGGCATTTCTGCTGAATGTGGCAAAAGCCTGGGCTACAGACCACACGGTGGCGGCAGAACCGGCGGCAGACACAGTCTTAGTAAGACCGGGGCTGTCTACTCCCACCCCACACAGGCCTCATTTTGACCCACCCTGGGCGACTCTCGGGTGATATGCGGAAACATACCCTCGCGAAAATTGTGAAGAGTGAACATTTCAAGGGGAAGCAGCCTTCTAGGCAATGCTGTGTTTGTGCAATTCACAAGAAAAGGAGTAGGACTGCTTACATTTGCAAGTTTTGTGTAATGCCACTTCATAGAGGGGAATGTTTTGAGAAATATCACACCCTCATGCACTTCTAGAAGCACTGGTAAGTGTTCTCAAAAAATTTTATTTCATAAAATTATTTAGAATTTATATTAATTTTTAAAGTGAACAGTGCACAAGTTAGGGTAGTAGGTATAAAAATGCCGGTCTGCAGGTTGATTTAAATATTTAAATTGCTGGACCGCAAAGTGTTGAGATGATGTAAAATGATTTTCCTGTCAAATTTGTTGAATACTCAGAATGAGATAAACATTGTTTCTAATGTGCACCTAATATTGACCAGCTGTGATTTCAAGCCAAATACTAAGAAGATACACACTTGCCCAGAGCAGTAAGCAGCCACTCAGTGGAGTGAGGATAACCTTGCTGTGTAAGGGCAATGTTGGTTATGCCCTTGTTGAGAGAACGCTCCAGGATAGGGTGCAGCAGCCCATGTGGAGCAATCTCAATAGTGATGGCATTATGTGGGATGTGTCGTGATGCCTCCTCAAAAAGCACAGGATTAACCAGGTTGTTGGTGATGTACTCTGCTGATGAATGTGTTGCTACTGGTGTGTTCCATTCACTCTGTGGCACAGAAAAGCTCACCCAGTGAGCAGACCGGCGATTTGCACATGGGATCAGCTGCAGGGGCACAAGCACAACTAACAGAATATACTACTTCAACTACAGGGTGATTCATACAGAACCCGCCTGACGAAATGAGCTGTAATATAAAATATACCATACAGATATTAAAGGAATTTACACATATTTTATCTTGGATTGTGTGCCGTGATCAGAGCGGGTGTTGAAAGGGTCCGCCGTTTTCAAGTAGGCACTCCTCCACCCATGTTTGCATATTCGCCATGGCTAGCTTCAGTGTTTCTTCAGTGATGTTCCTGATTTCAGCCAAAATGCTGTCCTTTAAATCCTGTAATGTACGTGGCTGTTTGCATAGACCCTGTCCTTCAGTAAACCCCAGAGAAAAAAATCCAGGCTGGTAAGGTCAGAGGAGCAATCGAGCCCGTCACCCAGTACGTGCACACGAGAAACACTCGCTGTTCAACAGAGTACTCCATGACTGTCACCTGCGCACTGCAGACACGTTTCGGGATTGTCCTTGACCTTGCAGCATAAGGGCTGCCACTTGCCTGATCATGCACACACCATTCGACTCAGCACGGCCCACGGATTATTATGTAGTAATTGTGAGCGGTTACATGCATCACCTGCAGAATTATTAGCAAATTCATGGGGCCAGTTCTATACAATTCACCCTGTATTAGGCATGTGTGAGTATTACTTGTATATTTTCAATACCAAATTGAGAAATAATACTTTTCATTAAAGTACGAGGGTAAGTCAATAAGTAAGTTACAAATGTATATAGAACTTAAACAAATAAGAGAACTAATTTGAAAAATGATTTTATTTCTCAACATAATCTCCCTGTACACTGAGGCACTTGTTCCATCGTTTCACAAGCCCCTGAAAACCGGCAGCATAACATTTTTTGGGCTGCCATCAGAACCAGGCAGTGACTTCCTTTTCTACAGTTTTGTCCGGAAAATGTTCAGCCGAAAGATGATGTTTAAGAGGGCCGAACAACTGGAAGTCGCTTGGAGCAAGGTTGGGGCTATACAGAGGATGCTCAAGGACTTCCAACTTGAAATTTTGCAGTGTCTCATTTGTCTTGTTGACAGTATGGGGATGCGGCTTGTCATGCAAGAGCAACACGCCTTTCATAAGGAATCCTGGTCGCTTCCGTTGAAGGGCCTTATGAAGTTTCCTGAAGATGTTACAGTAGGAGTCGGCATTTACGTAAATCCTGACTTCTACTATAACATCATCAGGATGTAAATATTCCCTGCAAAAGGGAAGTCACTGCCTGGTTCCAACAGCAGCCCAAAGAATTTTATGCTGCTGGTTCTCAGGGACTTGTAAAATGATGAGACAAGTGCCTCAATGTACAGGGAGATTATGTTGAGAAATAAAACCATTTTTCAAATCAGTACTCTTATTTAAGTTCTATATCCATTTGTAACTTACTTACTGACTTACCTACGTGTAAATAAGTTATTGAACCTTTTAATTCTGATCAGACTTCCTGATACTTAACTGTTATGAATTTTAATCAGTAATACAGCTTTGTACACCCAGATACAAACGGTAGTCTGAGTAACACACAAGGGAGACTGAAGAGCCAGGTTACTGTATCTAATAACCACACTTTTCTCATGTGGCTGTGGTCTAGGATAATCATAAGAGGTGGAAGCAACAAAAATGCTATGTCCTAACATTGACCGTTAAACATTAACATTGACCCACATACATTGGTAGGCAAAAGCAAGTAAACAGTGGCTGCTACGGAACTTGTAAACATGGTGTCCGGCAACAGCAGTACCTATTATGTAACCATTTTCTATATGTCCGACTCTAGGTTATATAAGAAGATACACTGAGTGACAGTTACAGACCCCGTGTGGAGGCGGGGTCGAACACCTCCACCGTGAACCTGCGAGTCGTAAGAGGCGAGGAAAAGGGAAGTCTCAATTCTGAGACAGTAAAATATGGTCACGAGTCCCAAGGGACTCAGACCCAAGAAAGACTGCACTGGCAAGGGCCAGCAGCATATACAAAAGACAGACCCGTCCTCTCATCAGAGAAGGCGCCACACAAAATCAAGACCGTAACTGTCAAACAGTAATAAATATCTGCTCATGAGCCCCAGATGGGGCTCGAAACCAAGACTTACTGACTGACTGATCGTCAGTCGCAATGTGACATTGACATTGACAGTTACAGTTCTAGATTCTACAGTTCTACAATTCTGGTTCAGTGTGTTCATTATTGTTATTATTATTCTCCAATTCTTCAAACGCAAGTTCGTCTGTGTATACGGTGCAACTGTAATAAATTCTATAGGACAGTTCAACTAGTGGTTGTCTCTTCATATGACATCCCACAAAGGCTTCCTCAAAATGTTGACAGTTACACAGCTGGCTGGCAACTTGATTTCATAAAACCTGAAGGTTCATAACAATGTTCACACAGATCAATCAGGGAAAACTGACCTAACCTACATATATATAATAAATGACAACAAGAATCTAACCAACTCTCTTGCCATAAATTGCTACAACTATTCCATTCCAAACCAGTTCACACCTTTAACAAACATAACCCAGGATGTGCCATTTGTGACATTCCATCATTAGACTTAGAACCACAGAAGGTGTTTTACCTCCTTCAGGTACTTGAGAAGGAGAGGCTCAACTGATGATATGTGCTTGCTGTGATGAGCAATGCTGCCACAGTTCACTACCTCAGCAAACACACCTTCTTTCTGCAGAATTTTCAGAAACTTCTTCATAGACTCAGCTGGACCAGAAAGTGTGCAGAATTTAGGCCCATTGTGGCATGCCACCTCAATGTCAGGTGGACACAGCTCCCTGGCTTCCTGAGCACCAAGACCTGTAGGACCAGACCTTGATAAGACCCAAGCAGGACAGCTCCATGGCAATAGCTTAGACTTGGAGGATGAAACATATGCAGCATCTCTTTCATGCATACATACCATTCCTCAGGCCACCAGAAAATTATGCAAATGTGGATTGAGAACTCTAAATGTCAAATATCAACAAAGAGTTAATTAGTTCATTTTGTTTTTATTAAAAAATGCATTCTAAGCCAAGCTGAATCAAATGATGGATGATGAAGGGTGCTGAATTTGGAAGGATGTAAGAGGAAGAGAATTGGATGCAGTCCACTCTAAGATGCTGTTTCAATGTGTTCCTGATGACACTAAGGAAGAACACAAAAAAGCAAAGTTAGGTTAGTCAGTCTTTGTACACATCTAGAAAATCAAGAGCCCCTAAATGCAAGCAATTTTACAGTGTACTTCCTTGTTTATGGTGTATTTAAAGTCAATAAGAAGCTCAAACGATACAGTGTTCAATGTTTGGATGACTGCTGTGTAATGAATTGAAAGGATGTCAAAGGAAGCAGTCATGAATTCATTTGAAGTGCTATCCTGCTGGCTAGTGGGTTGGTGGGACTGAGGAAAACTACAAGAATCCTCAGTTAGGATAGTCAGCGTTCTGGCCAAGATCTGGCTTCTTGCTAACACAAGTCTAAAGCACTAAAACCCAAAGATGGTCAAATACAATCCCATTCACTTTATCCTGATGGACAAGCAACAGACATGCAGAGTTGACAGACATGCATTTCTGTGCAATGTGACTGAATGTAGAAAACTTACGAACTACAGACACTGAGCCCCTGATGAGCTCTGTTTCTAGGACTGCATGGCCATAGTAGTACGCTGCCAACATCACCTGCTCAGCCGAGAAGCAGCGGTCCATGTAACTGCAGCCTAGCTCTCCCAACGAGAGGCCCACAAAGCCATCTGGGTCAATTCCTACTGTCCTCATAATGTCCACCAGCCCAACCTACATCAGAAACACATAACAGTACATCAAAATACATTTTGATCCATGACACACAGTTCTTACCAACAAAAGTCTACATTCTTTATGTTTTCCATTACACAAACTGTAATGTGTTTCTGGGCAAACACATCTCTAGAATTCATACAGGTTTCTGTACAAAAATTTTGAAGTTTTGGCCAAACTCTCTCGGAAACCTAAGAAGTAAAATGAATCAATTGCTTGTGAATACACACCTGGAAAGCTGCAATGCCCACAAAGCAATTTAGGATGTTACTGAAGATTGTGGAATCATCAGATGTGATGATATCAATCACATCTACTCCATGAGGCTTCAGAGCTTCCTGACACTTGTTGATGGCAGCTGCAAAAACCGGCAGTGTGAGGAGGGATTTCCCTATACCTGGCCATTGTAAGCCTATACCAGTGAACACAAACCAGACAGGCCGCTTGCTTCCAGGGTAAAACTGAAATTAACCAATGTAAGATATTATGTTTTCACACTGCTACTGAATATTAGTAATGTCTCCATTTTTTACCGTAGTACACAGATCATACGTTAAACTTAGTATGAAAGAACTGTATGCTAGCAAATCAACTCATCACAACACATGGTAACACATTAAGGAGATGAACTCTTAAATTATATAACCACCATGAGGCTGGGAGGGACTTATAGAATGTCAGAACATATTGGAGAAGGCAAGGCTCTACCCTACCAGTAATGCAACCCTGGACACAAGTCACAGCCATATAATTTACAGGCTAAGTTTGATATGCAGCATAATGGTCTGAATCTGTTTGTATTTATATGGTGGGTCATGTAAGGGATTATACTGTCCCAGAGACACCAAGCAGATCATTTCTCGTAGTCCTGAACTGGTTTGCATTTTAGTAATAGTTGTTAGACACTCAAACATGTTCCTGACATTTTGTTATGTAAATACTGATCATTGCAAATATTTTCTTTCTCAAATTTTACTGTTAATCTGTATTATAATAGCAGAAGTTATTGAGAGAATTATAATTACTTCATCATGAAAGACATAAGTCTGTAATTTGCTAATTTCTTCATGGTAATGAGAATTATCACTTCTGAAGGTGTAAATTATGTGAACAAATGGAATATAATGTGGGAGTTTATATTTCATATCTGCGACTGTGAAGAATACTGACTTCTGCAATGTATTGACATATAGTCCAGTAGATATTTTTCTGATATTTTTGGGGAAACATGCTGTCTCCACCTTGAAGGTACAAGACTAAAAGTAAGAAAAGGAAAGCTATCCCTGTAACAGGCAGTGAAGGCCCATAGGGTTGTGAGACGTTGAGGGTCCCACATTATCTAGACAATCGGCTCAAAGATGGCAGTAAGGTTGTCAGCCTTATGCGCCGGCCACGCTTTACTCCCCAGGAAAATTATTTAATTAATTCCTGGTACTCATTTCTGTTAGAGGCTGAGTCGACCCCAGGGCCATAATGTGGCTGGAAGGATTAGGTCAATTGAAAAAAATCCAATGACCTCATTGGGAATTGAACCTGTGACCTAACGGCTTGCATAAGTATGGAAAAAGTACCACATGCAAGGGAGAGCCAGGTCATGGGACCCTAAGCATCACAGTAAGAAGAACAGTGAAAGTATTGTGGCCCCTGCAATGGCCACTTCCAAGAGTACGAGTATTGGCTTTTTGCCATCCTCCACTTTGTTCTCATTATTCTAACTATGATTTTTTTCAGGGTTATGTGGGATGATGGACAAAATGTCTCCAGTCTCTTCAGTCACTCCACAGCTGTTTCCCTTCAATTTCTTGACAGCTTTCCCTTGTCTTTGTGATGTTTAATATATGGTTCAACCATTTTGTTCAGGGTCATCCCATAGGTACCTTGGTCTAAGTGTGACTTCTAATGCCCTTCCATGAAACATCGTTCCTTTTACATGACCTAACAATTGTAGTAATTTCTCTTTTAACTGTATCAAAAAGTTACTTTCACTGCTGATGTTGATTCAGCTATTGGGTCCATACACTGTAAGGATGTGAGCAGTATTGCTAATATTTCGGAGGTATATATTTTCAACATTTCAGGGTCAAAGTCACAGGCATGTATGCATTAAACATCAGCAAAACTGACTACAACCATAGAGCATAAAGACAAAAGATCTGCATTACCAAATTGTTCTTTAAAATTTCAATTTTAATTCATAATTTATTTGCATCCATAAACTGTTATGCAATTACAATTGGACAAGACATTTTAAACAACCTAAAACACTACAACTCAACAGCTCTTAAAAATGTACAAAATGATACACAAGACTAAGAACAATACAATCATCTTAGGATCACCATTCCCCCGAAGCTAGCAACAGTGGATGACAACCCCAATATACAGTCCAATATAAAGCAACACATACACTTATACCATCTATATACATCCACACCACATCGGAACCAACCCAAGCCACCAAACTACCATCCATCATCTTTACTAAAAATCTCCTGCAGATAATTAGGACACACTTGTAAAAAAACAGCTTTTTAATTTATTTTTAAAAACTTTACAATTTTCTATTGTTTTTAATTCAGGGGGCATGCTGTTATGTAATTCTATCCCACCCTGTTGTCCCCTCGCTAATTAAAAAAATAGGTACATAATATATCATTACTGTTACAAGCCTTGCCTCCCAGGTTTTTGAGATGTAGGATAACATTCGCAACAAGAATTCTTGATTCTGCTTCTTGTGTTCTTTTTGAATCAATTATTGTGAACAAGACAAATGGCACTGTCAAAGATTGTGTAATAAATAACCTGAAAGAATATAATCAGATGAAGCCATAATACACAATCAACAAACAAACATATATTTTAAAATATTTCATTGCTCTTGGTTTAGTTTAATACATAGATATTGAATCCCCAAAGACAACAAATAAATATCAAAAACAATATATTTTACAATCACAGCAGCAGGAATAACCTGTGAGTTATGGTTAGATGATAAATCAGCCAAAACGCAGTGGAACTGACAGAGATGAGTGCAACTGAACGAAATTTAAGGAAACATAACCAAGATTTTTTTTCTAAGTGACTTTAGTCTGCAAGCAAACTATACCAACTTAGCGACCGCCGCTTGTCAGCGAAGTTAGTGCCAACTTTAGCGAATAGAGGGTGTTGCATGATCAGCGCAATGAATCCCCACGGCCATTAATTTCGGTTTTCTAGACCGGAGCCGCTATTTTTCCATTCAAGTAGCTCCTCTATTATCCTCACGAGGCTGAGTGGACCCCGCTCCAGACCCACAACTTCTCAGAAAATCTGGTAGCGCCGGGAATCAAATCTGGGACCTCTGGATCTGTAGCCAGGAACTCTGACCACAGGACCACAGAGGCAGTCATAATCCAGATATAAGTTTGGAAATCTGGCACTAAACTCCTGGTCTTCCAGTCTGAAACCTCGTCTTAACCATCTCAAGGTATATGGCTCAAGCTGGAGCTCCGCCAAATTCAGTTGCTCAATACCCCACACAGATAACACATCTACAGCATGCTGAACAGCAGGCTGGGCCTCTGGATAAGAGGGTGGAGGTATACTCGTAAGCTAGAAGGTGACCATTAGGAAAGGAACGGGTAGAAAATACAGGATGTGTAGAAAGGCAACAGACTGATCCAAGGCACAGTTCAATGAAATTGCAGAACTTAATTGGATACTCACTCACTTTAATACTCCTCAGGTTACTGATATCTTGTGTGAGAAGTGTGTACCCACGGTACTTGTGGCCAACAATTTCTGTTGACTGGAGATCATGCATCAGGTGCACGAATTCTGCATCAACTGGCCAGCTCTCAAACTATAGGTATATACAATGGTAAAAAATCTTGTAACTGCCAAATTTTTCAACTGATCACAAAATGATGAAGCAGCATCCTAAATATAATCGTGTCAGATTTACACAGCCATGGAAAGAAAACATTATTGTACTCGTTCACGAAAAAGAGTGATATAGTCAGCTCTAATAATTATTGAGGCATATCATTCTTACCAACATCTTTTAACATTTCATGTAGCAAAATTTGCACCCAGACAGACCAAGGGATAGCATAACAGATGAAGGATTAGAAATTAGTATTTTCAGAATATATTGTCACGTGTACAAATGACTATAGACAGGGTTTGGATTGGTAACTGGATTTACTGAACACTTAACACATTCAGGACTGGAGGGGCCAATTGGCCCTCTACGTTTCTATAGCATTACGTACCGGGTGGGCCAATTGGCCCTTTTCTGACGCGTTATGTTGCAACCGACTATATCTTGTTGTGTGGCCACATTATATCATAACTACTACGTAGTTGACCTTGGGAATGTTTGCTAGCTTAGCCAGGAACATGATCACGCTCATTTCCTGTCACACCCTAAAGAAAAAAGCCTTTGTTCGAGTCCAAGCTTCCACGTATGAACCAGGAAGTTAGCAGTGCAACATGGATCAGAGACGAAAGCAGTTGCAGGCGAAGCTTTCTCTCGGAGAACAAGAAATATTAGATTTGTTCTCCGATGAGCTATCAGATTGCCAACTGCTTCGTCTTCTGATAGTGAGGCCAGCCTCAGTGAAAGTGACAATGACAGGGGCCACAGGGCCCCCCAAAATATTGTGTCCAGTGAAAGTGAGAGCTCCGATGAAAGTGCGAGTACCGGGACAGCCACGTGGGGTAAAGTGGACAAAACCCCCACTTTGGGTAGGTTTACTGGTGATCCGGGGGTGAAGCGGATGCCATCGGACCCAACGGTTGTGTCTGAAGTTGCGTCACTGTCTTTTGGAGATAGTTTCTTTCACCTGTTATGTCAGGAGACTAACAGATACTATCTCCAACACCATGAGGCGTACAACCGCACCTATAAGGTGTTGAAGTGGGTGGATGTCACTTTAACAGAAATTAAAAAATTTTTGGCTATGATCATTCTAATGGGGCTTACGAAGAGAGATACTTTGAAGGATTATTGGTCAAGTGACCCATTTTTAGAAATTCCCATTTTCGGCAAACTCAGGAGTCGTAAGAGATTTGAACAGATATGGTGGTGTTTGCATTTCAATAATAATGAAGTGGAACCACAACCAACGGGCAGGCTTTTCAAAATACAGCCCTTATTAGACATTTTGGTTGAGAAATTTCAGACAGTTTACATGCCAGAGCAACAACTGTCTTTGGACGAATCTGTGATTCCTTGGAGGGGAAGGCTTCGTATTCGAACGTATAATCCTGGGAAACTCACAAAGTATGGCCTACTTGTTCGTGTAGTCACGGAAAGCACTTCAGGCTATACAGGAAATTTAGAAATTTATTCTGCTGAAGGCAAGAAATTGCAAGAAACTATTGTTTCTGTTTTGGGTCCCTATCTGGATCAAAATTATCACGTTTATCAAGATAATTATTACAACAGTGTGGCAACTGCAGAATACCTACTTTCAAGGAAAGTACGTATTTGCGGTACAATTAGGGTGAACAGAGGCCTTCCTTCAGATCTGAAAGAGGAATGTAAATGCCTGAAACATGGTGACACCACATTCAGAAGGAAGGGGGACATTCTTCTTCAGTCCTGGAGGGATACTCGCGTTGTGAATATGGTTTCCACTATTCACAATTCGAGTATGGTTGATGTTCAGAGATGCCATGGGCAAGTGAAGAAGCCTCTTTGTATTTCCGAGTATAATATGTTCATGAAGGGAGTTGATAGGGCTGACCAGTACTTGGCCTATTATTCCCTTCCTAGGAAAACAGTAAAATGGACGAAGAAAGTTGCACGGTGGCTTATAAACTGTGCACTTTTCAATTCATTTTCGGTTTTCAAAAAGGTGAACAGAAATTCTACTTTGAAATACAAAGCATTTCTGTTGAACTTGGCAAAAGCTTGGGCTACTGACCTCACGGTGGCGGCAGTACCTGCGTCAGACACAGACGTAGTGCAGCCGGGGCCATCTGTTCGCACCCGCCGGAGGCCTCATGTGGACCCCCCTGGACAACCCTCGTGAGAATTGTGAAGAGTGAACATTGCAAGAAGAAGTACCTTTCTAGGCAGTGCAGTGTGTGCGCAGCCAACAAGAAGAAGAGTAGGACTGCGTAAATCTGCAACTTCTGCGTGATGCCTCTTCACAAAGGGGAATGTTTCCAGAGATATCACACACGCAAGCACTTCTAGGAGCTCTGGTAAGTGTTCTCCAAAAATTTTAGTTCATAAAATTAATTAGGAGATTTTATATTAATTTTTAAAGTGAACAGTGCACAAGTTAGGGTGCTAGGCTTAAAAACCCCAGTCCCCAGGGTGATTTAAATATTTAAACAACTGGTCCGCAATGTGTTACCAGGTTGAAAGTACAGCTAACTATAGTGCTGTCACTAATTCACACAATCTACAATTCATTGCACTTAGTCTTCTCACTCTGCTGTATCTTCACCGGTTGTCCCTTGTAAACAGCTTCCAAAGCCAGAGATCCCTCAACTTCTGTGTTCACGTCCTTAAAGGCCGGCAACTGTCTCACAACTAAACTCCAGACTTATCCTGCTTACAACACCTCGGCATGTACTGCATAGAAAACACTGCTTCCAACAGTTCTTCTGTTGTTGAATCAAGCAACTGTTGCACAGACGATATAGAGAACACTGCTTCCCAGTTATTAAATTGATGCATGTTAGGAATCTGCTGCCTAACAATGGGCGTTTACAGATTCACTACTTAACTAGTCTACATGTTACATTACATAGTGTGCTGACACCACAACATGATCAATTTCAAGCTATAGAATGGGGGGTTCAACAGGAAAACCCTGTCAGAAAATTATTAAATTATGGGACTCTATATCTCTGGAAGCTTTTGAAGAAACCTTTTAACATATTTGAACTACCATGATGTCTAAAAATATCTGTGGTAATGGATGGGGTAAGTGGCATGGATATCATAAAACAACAGATGATCTACACACCCATGCTCAATTCAACCCAGAAAATCACTTCAATATTCCACTGAAATAATCTTCAAAACTTTGATTTTCTAGCTCTCTCCCAAATGCCAATGCATTTAAAGTAACTTGTTACAGGCCTTTTTAGAGAATTTGTTTCTTTCTTTCTCATTACATTTCTTTGCCTGCATTATGAAATCTTATCAAAAAAAGTGAGTCAGTTTGGTAAGGCTTGGTTTGCTGAATGGTAGATGAACTGCTGATACCCTTTTCCAGAATCGATTCAGTTTCAACCTCATGGAAAAATGACTAAATTTCCTGCCCCTATGCCCTTCTAACAGTTTTAACATTCCTCAAGACATTAAAATTTGCAATTGCACAGTCAACATCAAACCACTAAACAACATCCTCGATGTCAACTTTGTCACTGTTTTCTGTGTTTTTAAATATGGCAGCTAACTCAGCAGCTCAAATGTCATCCTCCTCAAACCTGAGATCATCCTCAACATTGTGATATGAAGTCTTTCATTCCATGACTTGCTAATAGCTGTTGGCATTGTCATATTCCAGACATATGACGCCCAGATATGGCATCTAACACAGACAGCTTCATCCAAACATTTCATTAACAATGCCATCATATGCAGGTTTCTGAAGATACCCCTGTAGTGTGTTTCCATTGTTTCAAACGTTCCCTAATCCACTGGTTGAACAGAAACAGTAACACTGCGTGGCAAGAGCTTCACAAGTAATTTATCACTGTATGATAGCAAGATATTTTCACTTTGATGTGCTCCTACACTATCCAGTAATAGTAAAGGCTTTTGATTTAAGGTTGTCATAACAGTTATTATTAACAGGAAGGTTTTCTTGTTTCTTGAGCTTTGTAGCTCAGGGAAAGGAGGCTGACATTTTGAAGGAACATATCACCTCAGCTCAGCCTGCTGCCTACTTCTGCAGGCTTAATGCTTGGTTTAATCTTTGGCCCATTTAATTTTACTTATCAGACATATTTCTGCTTTCAGTCCCTTTAAAGAAATTCCAGTTTTCTGCTTTACTGATTACAAATGCTCAGTTCTACGCAAACAGTTAACAATGGCACAACACAGTAATTCTCTTCTTACTTGATTTACAGCCAGGTGCACAAAGTGCAGATTCAAGTTCTAATTTCTTTGTTGGGACACATTTCCACAACACACCAGTGCTATCAGCATTCATCTTCACTCAGGACTTAAATTTTCACTTTTATGAAGTCTTCAAACCCACACTCAAATTCACTCATAGCTGATTCGTCACCATTTAATATTCTGCCATGTATAACAGACTCCCAGGAATGCATGACACTGCTTTAATTGCACAAACCAGACCAAGGAATCACTAAACTCTCCTTCCCTTCCTAATGCATACAAAATACTGCCTGTACAGCATGGATTATCATGGACACTAGAGTTCCTTGTGCCCTATAACTAAAATATTACATCTCACCTTTATCAAGCTGTTCACAAATTGTGGTTTCATCACTTTTCCTTTGATATGGCATTGGTCAGCTGTTCACTGTGGCTGCATGGTCTGAGGCATGAACTGTATTCTCTCGCATGAACACTGGGATCATGGGGTTGAATCTCACTCAAGGCTTCGATTTCTGTGTGTATTAATTCTGTGTTCATTTTTGTTTGGTGTATAAGTAGTAACCTTGGGACGGGTTGATACCCCGTCCAAGGAGTCCTACTGACTGTGTAAAGGATTACAAATCTGAAAAAAGAGGCCATGGTCCAACAGAAGGACTGTAGAGCCATAGACAGATAGCCAGAGAGACACATAGACAGACAGATAGATAGATAGATAGATAGACGCCACTGGTCATGTTAGAACTGATAAAGAAGTTATTTCATTTATA